GGGATATGACCTGGGCATAGACGTCGGGTTGGCCCGATAAGTGATACCTAGTGAGTCCGAGAGGAAGTCAACGGTTCGGCTCATAGGTTGGATTTTGTTTTGATATTTCTCGTGTTTCGGCGTTTTCTGATTTCTTGTCGCTTTTTCTAATAATCCAAATTTCTTGAGCAAAACACAAACAACGCAATTTCGCCGACGGGAACAAAGACTGTCGGCCGTTCCGTAACCTGACCGAGCTCCTTCTGTTCGTGTTCGGGTTCAAGCATCAAATATCACGGGCGGCCATGACTGATCTGTTCGAGATACTACGTTTTGTGGACGGCAAACAGGGCGATGGCGCCGGGGAAGGGAGGGCGTTTGACACCGCCGACGTGCCGTCCAGTGGCGAACACTTCATTTCCCGGATGCGCGAGTATCTTCCGCTGTTCGAGGTGTGGGTTCGTGATGTCCGTTGCAAACCCCCAAACAGAAAAAACCCGGGGGCTCGCACTACTGCAAAGGTGTACGACATCCCCATTACACAAGTGCTCGCGTTTCTGTTGACGTCGAAAGAGTCTATGGAAGAGGTGGTCCAGAACCCCGGGGGCGCTGTGGTGACCGAGGACGAGAGAGACTGCACTAGTTGGGTTGTTGTGCCAGCATCTGTTTCCGGTGCCCACACGCCCTGTCGGGAACGCGCGGCGCAACAACATGCACGGCACCATCGTACAAGCCATGTCGCAGTTTAACACGGATGGATTCCTCACTTCGGGTCAAACAAGATTGTACGTCGGAGAAGTTGCAATGTGCGACCTCCGACAGCCAGGGGCGGCTCAACCACGTCAGGTGCCCTGCCGCGTGGTCAGGTCTTTCTTCGACGAGCAAACAAGGAGACTGGTAGTCGTGGTGCGGTGCTTCCGCGATGCGCACGAAGTATTGGGGTACCCCTACACGAGTCCTGACTTCACTAGGGATGGGTTGGTGCGTTTGTTGGAGGAGGTTGGCACGGCGTCGGAAGTGGTTCTGCGTGAGAGGCAGTGAATTCTTGACCGGGTTGAGATATTTACGAGGCGCGAGATGGAAGAGGGCGAACACCGTCGCCCCTGGACAGGGGATGAAGCAAGGCGCCAGGGTTGGTCATTTTCCGGCGAGGGATTCGTCGAGAAGCGACGGGGTGGTCGATGGTTGCAGCTGGAGGATCCGCTCAAGAAGGGATGGAGGCGAGCCGGGGGGGTAGAGGAGGACTACCCGAACATGCGAGACCCGGACGTACTTCATAACACTCACAACCTGCCGTACATTGGCCTGCCAGTCGGACTTTTCGCCGACGACTTCAACGTGTTCGACATGAGCAATCCTGTGAGTATTATTACAACATACCACACAACTGATGACGACGACTTGTTCGTGCTTATCCGCTTGCCATGGTCGACTCAGATCCTAAGCTCTCGTCTCGATTTGTGAAAATTGGTCCTCTACTGTTTTACCTCACCGCAGAAATCTATGGCCACCATCACTTTATGTGTTCTGCTGGAGTGTTCGTTCGTATTCACGCAACATCCTACCCCCACCTCGCTGGATGCAAGAGGTTATTTGTGCGGCCGACAAGCGACGATTGATATCATCACCATATGGTCCAGATGATCAATTCCGAAACAATTAATGAAAGCCTGTGCGGAGGGGTTGACGGGCGCGCGCACGGGGTGTATCGTATTTTGCGCC